AGTCAGAGAGGACTGGGAGACCAAGCTTGAGGACAAGGACCAATGCACCGGCTTTGGCTCGTTTAGAGAGGATTGGCCAAAGCAGGTACGTTTTCGGACCTTTCATTTAAGACATGAACTTGAGATTGAGAAATGCTTCTTCTCAATCTGCCCATGAGCCCCTGAGACAGAGCAGATCCTTGGACAGACAGTGAAGCCTTGGAACCTGGGTGTGGTTTCCCAGGAGTAAGGACCAGGACCTAAGAGAGGCCAATTTTCAAAAGTGTCACAATCGCCCTAACCGGTTTGGCTCAATGGATAGAACGTTGGCCTGCGGACTGAGGGTCCCAGGTTCGATTCCGGTCAAGGGCATGTACCTTGGTTGCAGGCACATCCCCAGTAGGGGGTGTGTAGGAGGCAGCTGATCAATGTTTCTCTCTCATCGATGTTTCTAACTCTCTTCCCTCTCCCTTCCTCTCTGTAAAAAATCAATAAAATATATATTTTTTAAAGGGTCACAATCACGCTTTTTAGTCACAGAAGAGAAAGTTTTCCAAGCCTTAAAAGAGAAGAAAAAGAAAATGTTACCCAAGGCCTCAAGTCTTTAAATGTGACACTTAAACATTTGAAAACTAACTTGAGTGTGCAGACAGGGCGGAAGGACCAGCACGTTCAATTTCTCAACACTTTCTAGAAGGGAGGAGGAAAAAAACCTCAGCTCTTGTGTGAAAACTGAAAAAGCTACAAACTGAATGTGTAGATTCTGTGGCACCTGCAGCCAGGTTGGATTCTCCAGGCTGCAGAATGGGACAGAGTTCGTGTGTAGAATGTTTATTAGGGAGTGCCCTTCGGTCAGGCACCTGTGGAAGGGAAGGAGAGAACTGAGATTGGACAGGCTGGATGGGTTGCCTGCGAGGCTTCCAAAGGGAGCTCAGGGGCTGCAGACCTCACTCTCTGCACCTGGGAGGGCACTTGCAGGCAGCCCTCCCAGCAGCAGGGGCATCTTGAAGGTGGATCTGGGCAGCACATCTGTGTCCATCACGATGCTTTTCCTGGCCACTTACACTACGTGAGCCCTGAAGTCCTCACTGGCCGCTTCTCCCCTCATTTCTGCTGGCTGGCATGATCGGATTGGGGAGCAAGCTTTGGGGAGGTGAAGATCCCCCTATCACATGCTATGATAATCGTATCAGGACAAGCACATGAATATGACTGAGTTACGAAGCTGAATACAACTTTTCTAAAATATGCATGGAATTCGGTCAACCATATCGAGGAAAGACAATTATCTCTTAAGTATAGAAAATACTTAAGAGAAAATACTACAAAATTAATACCAATGAAGAGGCCAAGTATGCAATAACAAATATGAACGAAAACGGCGTGCTAGGAGGTTAAAAATATTTTTTAATGTCTATAGATTCAATTTAATCTCCATTAAAATACCAATGGCATATTTCAAAGACCTAGAACAAACTCTCCAAAAATTCATCTGTAATAAAAAAAAAAGACCCCAAATAGCTGCAGCAATCTTGAGAAGAACAAAGTTGGAGGGATCACAATACCAGCTATCAAGCTATATTATAAAGCCACTATCCTCAAAACTGCCTGGTACTGGCACAAGAACAGATATATAGACCAACAGAACCGAACAGAGTACCCAGAAACCGACCCAAGCCATTATGCTCAATTAATATTTGACAAAGGAGGCAAGAGCATACAATGAAGTCAAGACAGTCTCTTCAATAAATGATGTTGGGAAAATTGGACAGATACATGCAAAAAAAATGAAACTAGACCACCAACTTACACCATACACAAACATAAACTCAAAATGGATAAAGGACTTAAACATAAGACGGGAAACCATAAAAATCTTAGAAGAATTCATAGGCAGCAAAATATCAGACATATGTCATAGCAATATCTTTACTGAAACAGCTCCTAGGACAATGGAAACTAGGAGAAAATAAACAAATGGGACTATATCAAAATAAAAAGCTTCTGCACAACAAAAGAAACCACCAACAAAACAACAAGAAAGCCCACTGCATGGGAGAACATACTTGCCAATGATATATCCAATAAGGGTTTAATCTCCAAAATTTATAGGGAACTCATACAACTTAACAAAAGGAAGATAAATAACCCAATCAAAAATGGGCAAAGGCCCTAAATAGACACTTTTCAAAATAGGGCATACAGAAGACCAAGAGACATATGAAAACATGCTCAAAGTCACTAATCATCCGAGAGATGCAAATCAAAACAACAATGAGGTACCACCTCACACCTGTCAGACTGGCTATCATCAACAAATCAACAAATGACAAGTGCTGGAGAGGATGTGGAGAAAAAGGAACCCTCGTGCACTGCTGGTGGGAATGCAGACTGGTGCAGCCACTGTGGAAGACAGTATGGAGTTTCCTAACCCTTATGCGCTGCTGGTGGGAATGCAGACTGGTGCAGCCACTGTGAAAAGCAGTATGGAGTTTCCTCAAAAATTAAAAATGGAACTCCCATTTGACCCAGTGATCCCACTTCTAGGAATATATCCCAATAAATCAGAAACACCAATCAGAAAGGATATATGCACCCCTATGTTCATAGCGGCACAATTTACAGTAGCTAAGATTTGGAAACAGCCTAAGTGCCCATCAGCAGATGAGTGGATTAAAAAACAGTGGCACATCTACACAATGGAATACTACGCTGTTTTAAAAAAGAAGGAACTCTTATCATTTGCAACAGCATGGATGGCCCTGGAGAGCATTGAGCTAAGCGGAAATAAGCCAGTCAGAGAAAGATAAATATCACATGATCTCACTCATTTGTGGAATATAATGAACAACATAAACTGATGAACAAAAATAGAACCAGAGACATAGAAGCATGGAACACTGTCCAACCTATGAGGGAAGCGGGGGGAGAGGTATGAAAGGGGGACTAGTATGCATGCATATGAGCATAACCAATGGACAAGAAAAATAATCATCACTGGATTCTGTGACGCGTACGGTACTTCTTTCTAAATGCCTGCCTCCTTTTGTATTCGTAATTTGGGGGGAGGGTGTTCTCTTTCTTGGTCCTGGCTCTCGCGACAGCGCGAGGGAGCCAAGGCCCAGGGAGACCTGTGGGTGAGGGGGCCGCCACCATGTGCACAACGGGGGGAATTATACGCACTTCGCAGGGTTCCCGCGCGGCGCTGCTGATTACCAGGGACGCGAGCAGCCCGA